ATTCCTTTTGTCTCCTCTTTCTCCACCAGACCAGTCAGCCAGGGCTGTGACCAGAATCTCATTTTCAGTTCCAAAGTCCTGCAGAGGGAACTCTGGCACAGTTTAGGCTAGAGGCCTGTTGTGAGTCAAACTGTGTTCCCCTCAAAAGATATGTTGGATCCTTACCCCTCCAGTGCTTCAGAATGTGGCCTTGTTTGGATATAGGGTGGCTGCAGAGGTAATTAAGATGAGGTCATACTGGAGTCGGGTGGGCCCTTATCCCAGTATAACCGGTGTCTTTACAAGAAGAGACTGGAACACAGACTCAGAAGGAAGAGCACCATGTAAAGAGTAGGCAGGGGTTGCAGTTATGCTGCCACAAGCCAAGGAATGCCTAGGGCTATTAGCAGTTGGAAGATGCAAGTGAGGAAGAATCCTCTCCTAGAGGCCAGAGGGAGCATGACCCTGCCAACAGGGTCTCAGAACTCTGGCTCTCAGAACTATGAGACAGTAAGTTCTGCTAAAGCTACCCAGTTTGTGGTACAGTTGACTCTTGAACAACATGGGTTTGAACTGCACTGGTCCACTTATACATGGATTTTGTTCAATAGATACTTCCTACAGTACCATATGATCAGGGTTGATTGAATTCATAGATGTGGAATTGTGGCTCCAGAAGGCTGACCATAAAGTTCACTGGGGGTTTTCAACTATAAAGGGTGTTGGTGCCCTAACCCCTACATTGTTCAAGGGTCAACTATACTTTGTTACAGCAGTCCTAGAATACTAACACAGTGCCCAAGCTTGATCCAGTCAGTTCTGTCCAGGAGACCAAGTCTTACAGTACAAACACAGCTTCTCAAGACTCACCCCTATGGCTTGGGGGTAGGGGGGCCAGTTTCCAAAGAGGGAAGAATCCTTGTGGGCTTGGCCGAGGCACAAAAAGCTGTCCACTCTAGTTCTCGACTGCTAGGACACATAAGGACATTCTGATTTTCATTCTCATTGTTTGTTTTGCTTTAAAATATTCTTTTACCCTCTGGAATGAATTGCAGTGTATGATGTGAGATAAGAATTGAAGTGACTTCTCTTCCATAATGTAATCCATGTGTCCTGACAACTTTTAATAGTGATGACCCCTTCCTCTCATCATTGTGTGGCTTCTTCTTGATTAGTCAGTGAGTACGGAAGATTTCTGAAATTTCTGAAATCTCTAGGCTATTCCATTCATGTGATTGACCAAGTTCCTGGTATGGTAGTGAGGAAACACTACAGCTTGACTTCCAACCTCAGTTCTACAATGTGGTTACCCCTCTCTGAGTGCTTTATCTATGGCAATTTGGAATATCTAAATACTCTTAATGTTTTGGGGGGATGGGTGGGGGGCATGAGTTTACAAAATGTTCTTGACCTTTTTAGAATAATGAACCAGAAGAACTCTCTCTGAACAGCTGTGCTGTTGCCCTTTTTTTGAAACTGGTCCCTGGCCCTGTTAACAAATCTGGTCTTTGGGATGGGAACAAGTTAGGAAACAGTTAAGTATTCACCCATCAAATTTTGTAATAACTATGTACCTGACACACAGCAAGCACACAATAAATGTTAGGTAACTATTAGGTGAAGGCCAGAAAACACCTATGTCAAACTCTTGCCAATATTCAACAACAGTTCATTCCTACATTTCCTCCACCTTTAAGTCATGCACATGGTGGGAAGGGGATGTGACAAATTGAATAATGGCCACCCCAAAATGTCCATGCCTAATCCCAAGAACATCTGTATATATAATGGTAAAAGGGACTTTATAGATATTGTTAAATTAAGAATAAGATGAGAGAATAAGAAATTAAGATGAGAGATGATCTGGATAATTTGGGTGGGCCTTTCTCTCCACTTCTGCCCATCCAGCCTGATTTCCATTGCTTCAACAATCTTCTTCCATTCACTCACCTTTGAAGCCTAGCTTTGCTAGTTATTCAAACTATAACAAAACCAGACAGCATGTTAAAAAGCACAGATATCACTTTGCCAACAAAGGTCAATATAGTGAAACTTATGGTTTTTCCAGCAGTCACGTACAGATGTGAGAGCTGGACCATAAGAAAGGCTGAGAGCTGAAGAATTGATGCTTTTGAACTGTGGTGCTGGAAAAGACTCTTAGAGAGTCCCTTGGACTGCAAGAAGATCAAACCAGTCAATTCTAAAGGAAATCAACCCTGAATATTCATTGAAACGACTGATGCTGAAGCTCCAATACTTCTGCCACCTGATGTGACTCATTGGAAAGGCTCTGATGCTGGGAAAGATTGAAGACAAAAGGAGGAGCGGGAGGCAGAGGATGAGTTAAACAGCATCACTGACTCAATGGAGATGAATGCGAGCAAACACTTGGAGACAGTGGAGGACCGAGGAGCATGGTGTGCTGCAGTCCCCGGGACGGCAAAGAGTTGGACAAGATTTAGCAACTGAACATTAGACAGTTGTGTTAACCCCACATGCTTGAGGCTAGGGTTATTAAACTGATAGAAATTCAGGAAGCAAATTAAATTGAAATGTGAAATAATGATGAGAAACCTTTAAAAAAAAATTGAGACATTTTCTCTCCCAGCATCAGACCAAACAGAAAGAAAGCTAAAAAGACACCGAGAAAGGTATCTAGGTACAAATACTGAATTGCACTATAAGCTCCTGAACATTTAATGCTCAGGGTGTTATAAGCCCTGGTCCTCTGTCGGAAATTCCTTACGCCTTTTGTACAAGCCTGAAGGCTAGATAATGAGAGACAGTAAAGACTTAAGTAGTTCGGGGTTCAAGAAATCTGGATTTGAATCCTGGTTCTGCAGACCGGTGTTCCAGGTGTTTTCCTCCAAGAGGCTCTAAACTGCCTCCTACCAGGTAGCTCCTCAAAGTCTGTGAACCAGGAAGGTGCGTCACCCCAGCTTCTAACGCGGACTTCTGGGTCCGCATCACCAAGAGAAGAGTATAAAATACCTCGTTCTGGCTCTATCACAGCGTGCTTTTTTTTACTCTTCTCTCCCAGAATAAAAGGCCCTTACTTAAAAAAAAAAAAAAAAAAAGATTTTATTTTTTCTTTCCGTTCTGTTACTAGCTGGAGCTAAACATTGGCTGGGGCCCCAGACGGCGGCTGGAAAAGCGCCCTCCCAGGAGCAGAAGGCTGGCTTAGGGGAAACTGGGGGCGGGGAGACAACTCGTGATGCTGCCCAGCGCGGGACGGCTTCTCCCACCTTTCCCAGCCAGGCCAAGGCCCTAGCGTGAGCCCCCCGACCGCAGAGCGTGGCGAGGAGACTTGGGGGACACTCACCCGGTAGTGGGGTCGCGCAGCCCCACACCCAAGCCCTCCCGCGCAGCCCTACACTTTCCACGAGGCCGGGGGGCTGAGGCGCCCGCCGAGCCGCCGCGGGGGCGGGGACCACCCACGGCGCCGCGCGGCCCCGCCCCGGCCCCGCCCCCGACGCTCCAGCCTGGGCTCCCTGCCCGCCTGGCTCTCAAGCTCCTCTCCGCGCGAGGAAACCCCACGCCCGGATGGAAGATTTTTTTTTTTTCCCCTAGGTTTTCTCTAAAGCCTGATGGGCCGCGGTACCCAGCTCCTTCAGATAAAGATGGAAGAGAGGGCTAGAGGGTCTGGACTGGGAGTGAAGAGATGGCCTTCTTGCTCCTCATTCCTCCGCCCCTCCCTTCCCAGCGAGAGGGCTGGACTGAGATTTACCGACCTAACCCATCCGGAAAGTTTTGGGTAGCAAATTAATTTATTTTGGTTCGGGAAAAAAAAATTAACATCGCTTTTGGGGATAAAATTACGCTGTTCCCAGATCCGAATTGGGAATCTCTCCATCTAATTTAAATCGGAGAGGACGAAGTTGTGGGAGGGGAGTAACGCATCTGCTGGAGGGAGGCGGGGTGGGTGATGGGGCAGGCGAAGTACAGTAGCGTTTAGGAGACTGTCGCGTCCCCTCCTGGAGGGAGGCCTTCCTCTTCTATCCCGCACCCCACCCCCCTACGGTTGGGCCCTTCTACCGCCCCCCCCCCCCCAACTTCTGGTTGCCAGAATGGAAAATTCAGAGTCCAGCCTGGTCCGGGTCAACAAACTTTTATTGCCATTTCTGGCTCCCCCAGCCCCAGCAAGATCCCTGCTTACACTGAGCTCTGCTGCAGAGGAATGGCGGTGGTGGGCGGGTGTTAATTTCTCTTTCTCTGCACACTGCCAATGTTTAGAAAGAAAATCCACTTACTGGGCAGGGAGGGCCATACAGGGTGGGATTCAAGGGCGCCTGTGGCTCAGTCCCACCTCTGCTGGCTGCAGAATATAGACTATGGTTCCAAACACTTTTTAAGGGAAAGGAGAAGAGATGAATTTCGTTGCTGTTGTACCCCTTGCCCTTGCTGCCACGTTTCCATGGAAATGAGGGAGGGGCAGGATGTAGCTCACTCTGACTACCTGGGAGGGTGGCAGGACAGGCAGTTAGTAAACACATCGCCTTCCACTCCTACCCAGTACAGACTGCTGTCCCCAGTCGACCCCCAGGCTCATTGCCTGCTCCGCCCCAGTCCCTTCTGGAGCTGGTATCATGCCAACTGGACTCCAGGCAGGGCTCGCTGGCAACAGCAAGAATCTGAGTATGTTGGTCAAGCTCAGTAGCAGCCCTAGTAGGGCCGTCAAGTTGTCAAGGCTTGGTGAAAAGCCCAGTGCCCCTGCAACTCTGTGCAACTGCTGTTGCTCAAGCATCTGTCTCAGACAAAACAAAAACATAAACCTACATGATTGAGGTTAGAGAGAATACAAAATAACAATGCTGAGAGCTGGGATGAGGAGAGGAGGCACATCCTTCTCAGACTAGAGCCACCTGTGCACCCTGCCTTCTGCTGCCTGGAGTTTGCTTCCTCCCACTGCTGTGGCTTGCAGGGCAGGAATCCAGTCTCCACTGGGTGCCGGCAGCTGTAACCACTGCTGTTGGCTGATCAGGCTCGCCTGTTGCCCTACAGAGGAGGTGCAGGATGGATCTTCAGTACCATGGGTCCGCCCGGTGCTGCTGATTGTAGAGCTGTAGTTTGATCTGATCTTTGATCTGACTCACGAGGATCATGGACAGCAGGATTCCCACCAGCTGGAAAAGGTAAACAAGAATTGGGTCCTCAGCCATGAGGGATGGCCTTGTTTCCTCTGACTCAATCTTCCCAGTGCAGTCAGCACCTGCCTTTCAGCAGTGTTAGTGCCTGACACCCTAGCTGAGTCCCAGGTGCCCTCCCCCAAACTAAAGGAGTCTTTACAGAATTGTGGGTCTGCAGTTTTACAGGGTAAGTTACCTGGGGGATGGCCAGGCCCAGTGCCACACCACCAAGTACGAAGAGGTTGCTATGTATCCAGTTGACCAATCTGTCAATACAGCCGTTGGTGTAGATGACTTTACTAGCTTCTAGGTAGTCAAGGGCCTGCATACCTTGGCCACACATGGTGTTGATCACTGCCTGGGAAGAGAGTTCAAAAGACAAGTGGGACTCGCATTCCTAAAACTTTTTCTTTGGGGCCCTAGCTGATGGGCCTCCCACCCTTCCTAAACTCCTAAATTGTTAGAGAATATATATGGAGGATGCTAGGTTGGAAGTTGCTAAATGCAGACTTTCCTTCCTCTGGAGGTCTGGGTCCAGTTCTCCGTGCTTTAGAGACCTGGGTCTTCTGGGCCGCCAAGTAGGCTATAGAATTGAAACACTGACAGAGCCATCAGATTGGAGTGAAGAAAAACATCTGACCACTGTTCTGCAGAACTGACTGGCTGAGCTAGGGGATGGAGATTCCCAATGGCAGCTGCCCTAATCAGAAAGTAACTCAGATCACTGTGGGAGGAAATGAGGTGGGAGGTGTGCTCACCTGGTTGGGGGTAGGCAAGCAACAGGAGTAAGGCACAGAACAGCGCTCACGGCTGGGGTTGTCTTCTGAACAGTTGAAGTACATGTTCAGGGACCAGTCCTTGTAGGAAATCCCTCCACAGCAGCTGAACTGCAACAGAACACATCACAGGCGTTAAAAATCACCCACCCCTTACACTGAGGTGACACAGGGAACTCTCAAAGCAACCAGAAGTCTATGGCAAGCTTCTACTTGTAAGTTCAAGCTATGTTTAAACACAGCCTTAAAACTTTGAGCTCAAGCTTCTCAGTGACCTTCACCTGAAGAAGTTATCTCTTCTTAATTTCTGTTACTTTATATGTTTTGTTATAACTTCTTGTGTATATATTTTGTTTTACACACTCAACTATCAGCTCCTTGAGGGCAGTTTCTGGTTTCGCAGTCTTGCATAGCATTTGTTGTTTAGTTGCTAAGTTGTGTCCGATTCTTTGTGACCCCATGGACTGTAGCCTGCCAGGCTCCTCCATCCATGGGATTGTCCAGGCAAGAATACTAGAGTGGGTTGCCATTTCCTTCTTCGGGGATCTTCCCAACCCAGGGATCAAACCCATGTCTCCTGCATTGGCAGGCGGATTCTTTACTACTGAGTCACCAGGGAAGCATAGAGCCTGGCAAAAGGATATGTTCCCCAAATACTGGCCGAAATAATTAAAGGATCAGTGCTACAAACATTTGTCTTAATGTACAGAAAGCACAGGAGGGGACTCTTCAATGTTATGGGCCCATAATTACACCATGAAAGCAAATAGGATCCAAGTTAAGGGTGTTACACCAAGTGAAGGGGAACTCAGCACTGCTCTCAAAAGCACTTTTGTTTCAAATATAACTTCTGACTCACAGCAGCATTATTCACAAGAGCCAAAATACAGAAGTGACCCAAAGTGTGCACCAAAAGACAAATGGATTAACAAAGTGTGGTATATACATATGATGGAATATTATTCAGCCTTATAAAGCGAGGAAATTTTGGAACAACCCACAACATAGATGAATCCTGAAGACATGCTAAGTGAAACAAGCCAGTCACAAAAGGACAAACACAGTATTCATTGAGACAGAATTTCATAGAGACAGAAAATAGAATGGTGGTTGTTAGGAGGAGAGGGGAAATGGAGAGTTAGTGTTTAATGGGTATGGAGTTTCAGTTTGGGAAGAAAGTTTTGGAGATGGATAGTGATGATGGCTATACAACAGTGTGAATGTACTTAATGCTACAGATCTGTACACTTAAAATGGTAAATTTGATATTATGTATATTTTACCACAACTTAAAAAATCTAACCTTCTCATTGGTGATATTAAAACAATTTGCCAGTCCCCACCCATGAGTAGCCATTTATAATGGTTTCTTTTATATCCTTCCAGATTCCTTTTGTAAAATATGAATACGTATTCTTTCCTGTTTTCTTTTACACAATTGGTGGTTACTATATATACTGTTCTGTGCCTGTAAAAGTACTTTTAAAGTTATGTGTGACTTTTTGGCCAAACCCTTTCCCAGAATCCATTACCTGTCAGGTAATGAAAAAGCCCATAGACCTTGAGGGTGAGTTGTCTCTTGGGATGGCATTAACTTTTACCCATAGCTTCCCAGACCACGAGATGATCACCCCGCCTCCTCAACCCATACCTCCTTCTGGCCAAAATCTATGAGGTTCTGAAGGTCCAAGTCATCTCGGTAGTGCACGATGGCATTATTGATAATCTCACTCACTTTGCCCCGCACCTGCCAGAAACATGAGGAGGGAATCAGAACACAGGACTAGCCCTTAATGTGATCCCCTGCAGAAACAGCAATAGACGGTGCTCATCTTTCTTTCTTTAAGTCAACCCTGAATTCAGAACCAAGTCCTAGCAGGGAAGAGGGCCAGTTCCAAAGCCCGTGCATCCCTGGGCTACCAGGTACCTGTGGGCAAGAAAAATGCTGATCTACTGTTGCCACGTCTCAGAGCCACATTTCAAGATAAGCCAATATTTATCTGTCTCTGAGTACTATTACACAAAATACTTGACTGATGTAAAGCAGTGAAACTAGTTTGTGTGTGTGTTGAGGGGCTGGATTGTTTTTTAGAAGAAAAGGACTAACTGAGCTAAGACACTGACCTCTAGTGGCCATAAGAGAATTGCATCTCTTTAGACTCAAATGTTTTTGAGTACAGATCTTTTCTCTGTATCATTTTTAGGATTTTATTAAGCCAAAGGACTAGGACATTCTGAATTGACTCAGTGGCTCTCAATTTCATAGTTTAAGCATGCTCTCTTCCTCCCTGCTTCATTACTTTTCTCAAAATTTCTTATCCACAGTCCTGTACTCTGCCCCTGGCAATCATCTGTCCTTTTGGAAAGAAAGTATGGTTTTTAATTAAAAGGGCTGCCACTGAATGGCTGACCACTTCCAGATATGGTGAGAGCTGTTTAAAGTCTATTTCACCCCCATCTTGCCTTTATGTTTGAGTTATTTTTAATATTTTCTTGTAAATATTTTGTAATATTGTAGTGAAATGGATCACAATGTCATTTCCTAATACAAAGCAATATATGTGGGAAGAAAATGTACAATTCTTTGATTAAAATTCCCACTGATCTAAACTTTGAGTGTTCCATGGAATAAATAAATAAATGTTCTACACCAAAATAAATAAATAAAGTCTTGTTTACTTTCCCTTTTTCTTACTTTTGTTTATCCCAATAAATAATTTTAAAAAGAAATAATAGGCTCTTCATGTTGTCTGTGATCCACTTGATAACTGAATTTTATTCAATCGTTTGCCATTAAAGTTTGCAGACTATTTTAACTTTGGGTTCATAGAATTGATTTCCCTGTTGGCCTCTCAGGCTGTCAGAGGAAAACACCTTACAATCTTGAAATCCTCTTTAAATATGGTGACTTTAAAGGGCATTCATTCATCCCTAAGGACAATCTTTCAAAGGCTAATGCTCCTCAGGGGAAGGACCACTGTGGTTAATTAGGCTGAGCACAGGCAGGAACCTTCCCTTCCTCCCTCTGGTTCACATCTGAGTAGGCCCTGTGACTCCCAGAGTTACCTTGTCTGAGAAGACGAAGCCCAGGACGCCAGCTGCCAGCTGTAGCAGGAACACGATGGTGAGACAGAGGGAGAACTGTGGGGGAGCAGGCGGGAAGAGGAGACAGTCTATTACTGCGCTGGGCAGGAGTTTCCCAGGGCCACAGGGAGGACTGGGGGGCCACAGGCCACTTCTCCCAGACACCCCCCACCACCCCCCCCCACACACAGTAAAGGCAGCTGCCTCTGGGATGCTGTCCTGGGGTGGTCGCCCTTGCTGGGTTCCCTGGGCTGAGCTCTACAGGGAGGAGGGGACAGCACAGACCTTGGGGGCAGCAAGGGACAAAAGAAACTGAAAGGTTTCAGGAAGGAGAAGCACAGGGAGGAGGCACCCGGGCCTTCCCAGGGGGTCGCCCCTGACCACTCACCGTCTGCAGGAGGCAGATGTTCTCACGGAGAGATCCGATGCAGCCGCAGAAAGTGAGCAGGAACATGAGGATGCCCACCACGATCAGCAGGATGGCCGGGTCCACAGCCAGGCAGGCCAGCGCCGCCTCTGGGGGAGGGGCTGTCTCTCAGTCTGAGCTGGTGCCCACTGAGTAGGGTACCAGGCGTAGGGTGGGGCGCCCCCAGAACTGTCCTCATCCCCTGGTAGGACTCTCCAGTGTGGCTAGGTAAAGGTTACAGGGAGCAGTACTGCCCTCCCACGGGGAGAACACCAAGGGCCCAGAACAGTCTGTGGCCTTTCATTTGAGGAACTAACAAAAGTAACAGCCTTTATTCCCAGGCTTAAGAGAGGAGGAACCACTTTCGCTCCAGAAAAGAATTAGAATGGCATTAGGCTTGCTGGCTTTTGCAGATTCTGTTTCCTGGAGACTTCGTGTAGAGGAACAGGAATGGAGGTTGTGTTTCTCCGGAACAGAGTGAAGGGAGGGCTGAAGCCTCTCGTTAGTCTTTGCACCCAGAAGCCTACCTTCTTCCCTAGATACGCCCTAAGCCTAAAATGCAGGCGGATCTCAGAAGATTCGAGGGAGCTCAGGAAAATCCAGGTGAACTGGCTTGGGTGGCCAGGCCAAGTAAGCCGCCAGATTTGGCTAGAGGGTGGCTGCCCCCCATAGCTTCATAGAGTCTGTGGGGAGGAGGGCTGAAGGGCCAGGGCTGAAAGAGGCAGAGGAGAAAGGGGCAGGCAAGGGTCATGGGGAGATGGACAGGAACTGTAGCTCACCTGCGTGCTTCATCAGCCGAGCGTAGACACCCACAGCCACCATCACCATAGAAATCACCTGTGGAGACAGGAAAGGAGCCACACTCTGAGGTTTTGGAAACTGGGGAGCCCTGAGAGCCATGAGTAACCTTGGAGGAGAGGAGGAGGATGACGACTCTTCCTGGATCAGAAATGAGCATCTTTTTCCTCCCCAGTGATACTGTTGATAGAATCTGGAAGGGCATTACCTCCATGAAAAGCCTGTATCAGGATGATCACATTTAATTCTCACAACAGTTATTTGGTGAGGCAGCTATTCTCCCCATCTTACAGATGAGGAAGTTAAGGCAATGCAAGGTTAATACACAACAGCAATTAGGAACATGGGCTGCAGATTGAAGTGAATCTGAGCCCATGTTGGACAACTCTCTGAACTTCAGTTCCTGTATCTGGGGGGTTATTTGTTTTTTGTTGCCGTTGTTCTTTTTGGCTGTGTTAGGTCTTTGTTGCTGTGTGGGCTTTTCTCTAGTTGCAGTGAGTGGAGGCTACTCTTTGTTGTGGTGTGTGGGCTTCTCACTGCAGTGGCTTTTCTTGTTGCAGAGCACAGGCTCTAGGCACACAGGCTCAGTAGTTGTGGCTCTCAGGCTCTAGAGAGAGGGCTAAGTAGTTGTGGCACACAGGCTTAGTTGCCCTGAAGCATGTGGAATCTTCCTGGACCAGGGATCAAACCCATGTCCTCTGCGTTGGCAGGTGGATTCTTAACCACTAGACCATCAGGGAAGTCCCTGAAGATGGGAATTTAAAATAACTATATCTAATAAGATTACTGTGGAGATGAAATAAAAGAATGCATGGAAAGCATTTAGCAAAATGCCTAGTAATAAATATTATCTATCATTACTAACTGGGGCTTCCCAGGTGGCTCAGTGGTAAAGAATCTGCCTGCCAAGCAGATGTGAGGGTTTGATCCTTGTGCTGGGAAGATCCCTTGGAGAAGGAAATGGCAACCCACTCCAGTATTCTTGCCTAGGAAATTCAATGGACAGAGGAGGCTGGTGGGCTGCAGTCCATGGAGTCACAAAAGAGTCAGACATGACTTAGCAACTAACAACAAATCATTACTAATGGTTAACTTGCCCAGGGTCACATTGAAACTGTGAATTTCTGAATTTAAATCCAGCTACTTCAAAGGGAAGGTCTTCAAGCTGAAGCAGGCCTGAGTAGATGCTCCCAGCTCTCTAACCCTCTTGGAGGTCAGCGTGGTGTCAAATATAAGAATGAAAGTGCAAACCAGAGTGAAAGAATGCTTGCACATGAATGCATTGGTGTGAAATAGCAGAACTACCTTACAAAGGAAACTTTATAAAGTCTGATTCCAGGGTGAGGAAACATAGACATTTAGACCTTTCAAACTTCCTGGCTTCTCTCTGAGAAAACAAACCCATCAAAGACCACCAGGGCTCCCTAAAGGGGCCTTCTCTGTGCCCTCGCCGCAGGCCTCCAGGAGTGCAGGGTGACCCAGTGTGCACACACTTCCTTTGTGCCCAGACCCCAGGCTGGTGCTAAGAAGCAGCTGGCTGTCACCATGGCAATAGTTGGGGCCACGCTCTGGCTGGAAGGAGTTCTCAGCAGGAACTTGACCAGTTCAGTGGGGAAGGACAGGGCTGGCTGGACTCCGCTGTCCTGCAGCACAGAAGAAAGAAACATCTTGGGGCTTTGGTGGGAGAAGGGAATTGAGCCTGAGCAGCAGGTCAACAGGTCAGACTAGTCCCTCGGTAGAGAGATATTTTCTTTGTTGAACTGTACCAGCTGGTGCATTCAGCAGGAAATGGGAAAACCTTGTCTAAAACCATGTCTTTTTAGAATCCTTCTCCTTGGTCCCCAATTGTTTGACATCACCTCTGCCTCGGGACCCCACGTGTTATGTGTTGGCCCTCATACTTTGTGTCCAGGAGCGAGGGAGCTGCTTGCGGAGAGCTGTGAGAGGGGCTGGAGGTGCCAGCTGGCTTCTTGTCCCACAGCACAGCCAGGCTCAGGGGGCAAGGGGCAGTGGGTGGGAGGTGAGAAAAACCCACAACAGAGATCCCGGTCATCCTGCCATCCCAGACACAAGCCCTTTGCCGGAGTGATCAGGCATCTCTGTCTGCCCTTTAAAACTCACCACAGCCAATTCTGGTTCTGAATATTACTTTACTGAGTCATTTAAAAGTATGTATCTGCTCTTTAGCTAAACAGGCTCCTCGCTGTTTTTTCACATGTTAAATTTTCACTGGGGTGTATAACTTTTCACAAAGACGGTCTCTGATTAAATCCCCACACAGCTAAAACAAGAAAGGGAAAGTAAAGAGATGCCACATGTCCCAGGGTAACTTCATTCCATGGGTGGGCTTGTAATTACAGCAGCTGCTGTGTCTCTATCTGCGGTAGGTAGAATAGTGTCCCCTGCAAAGGTGTCCTGTCCTAATTCCCAGAACCCGTGAAAATGTTACCTTACATGGCTGGCGGGGCTGTGCAAATGTGATTCACTTAAGGACTTTACGATGGGGAGATTATCCCAGTTGGCCCAAAATAATCACAAGGGACCTTATAAGAAGGAGGCAAGAGGGTCAGAGTAGAGAAGGAGACGTGTATAAAAACGGAAGCAGGGGCTGAAGTGTGTGTCATAAGCCAAGGACTGCGAACAGCCTCTAAAAGCTGGAGAAGGCAAGGACCTAGATTCTTCCTTAAAGCCTCCAGAGGGAATCATGCCTGCTGACTTTTTGATTTCAGCTCAGTGAGACCTGTTTGGGACTTCTGACCTCCAGAACTATAAGGAAACTAATTTGTGTTGTATTAAACCATTCAGTCTGTGCCAGTTTGTTAACAACACTAATAGGAAACAAATACACTCTCCAAATCCAGTTCATCAGCTGTTATGTAGGAGACACTCTGAGGACTGCAAAGATGAGCGAGGTGCGGCCCCTGCCCTTAAGGAGACATATCTGTCATGTGGGACAGGGCAAGAGCGCCTAGGGCAGTGCTTTTTGAGGTTGGCTGCCGTTAGAATCGGGGTGGGGCGTGGAGGAGAACTTCAAAACTCCTGATGCCTAGGCTACACCCCAAACCAAGTATGTCAGAATCTCTGGCATTGGAACCCAGGTCACAGTGTTCCTGAATGCATTCCAAGTGATTCCAACATGCAGCCAAGTTCGAGAACCACCAGCCTCAAGCACACTGGACCAGGGATCTAGAGCAGCAGGTGCTTGTTATGTGAGAAAGAAAGTTAAGACATTAATATGATCATGAATATTTAATATGATCATTAATGATCCTGCTTACTTGGAAGCTCACTAGCTACCTCTGAAATTCTGCGTTTCTGTCATTGATCTGCCCCTTTATCCTGAAGTCACAGCTTGCTCTTTGACACTTCTATTCCTGACCACATCTCCCACCCTGAATTCCTCAGAGCTGCTGCCATTCCAAAGTGAGTACTGCTGTTATTAGCTTAGCATTTGAGAGCTGAATAGAAACTTAGGAATGAGCCCAGCCACTCACCTTTTTTTTTTTTTAAATAGATGAGGCCAAAAGAGCAAAGTGATATTTGACCAAGTGCACATGGGTGCAATGGCAACATCTGGACTAAACCTCATTTCCAGTCTCAGTTGGGTACCGTCTACACCATATCAGTCTTTGCTACAGAATCCTTGTGACATCCCACAATATCACCAGTGACCTCCTTTCATGATGAGAATGGAGATAAAGACACTTCTCTTCCTAGAATAGCTTTTCATATTCTGGCTAGAATGAAGCCTCACTGGAAACTTTCAAATGCTAGACACAGTTTTTAAAATAGCTGAGTCCAGCCAAAGGCATGTTCCTGAAGAGTTGTCCATCAAATTATATAAAATAATTTGCCCGCACCAGTACCTTTATCCTTATGTAAGGTGAGTAATCACCTTATAATGAAAATAGCCATCTGCTGGGCTCCTTGGAGAAATGGCTGATCCTAGGACTGGGGCAGGAAATAGTTAAGTCTGGAGCATCTTGTGGTGCCAGAAGGTAAGGAAACGCTCAAAAATAAAAAACAAAACCCCACATTGGTGTGGCCATGCCAAAGAGGTATCAAACTAAAAGAGCATGGAATTGTTACCCCAAATATAAAATAAATATCCGTGAGTCCATACTGATATAAATGGGAGAGAAATAAATGGGAGAGAAAAGACAAATCTCTCATACAGAATTCCAAATATTTTATGGAGGTACTGCAGGATCTGGAGAAGGGCATGGCAACCCATCCAGTATCCTTGCCTGGGAAATCCCATGGACAGAGGAGCCTGGTGGGCTACAGTCCATGGGGTCACACAGAGTCGGATATGACTGAGCGACTATCACTCACTGCAGTGTTAGGGAGGTGGAACACAATTCCCCACTTCCAAGTGAGGGCTGCACACAGTAACTTCTTTCCAAAGAGAACAGACTGGAAAAGGGTGGGGAAAAGACTAACTTTACAGTGGAGAAGCCTAACTCCCTCAGCCAGATGATCAAGGTCAACATCAGCAGAGGTCATTGATATATGAGATTATGTGAAATGGCACTTCCCTTCCATGGTCTTCCTTCCCCAAACCCATAACCCTAGCATAATTATAAGAAAACATGGGCAAGTTCCAATAGAGGGACAAGATGAACAGTACTCCTCCAAACTGTCAAAGGCTTCAAAAACAAGGAAATTCTGAGACACTGCCACAGCCAACAAAAACCTAAGGACACATGACAACTAAATGAAATTTGGTATCCTGGATGGGATCCTAGAACACAAAAAGGGTATTAAGTAAAAACTAAGGGAAGCTGAATAAAGCATGGACCTTAATGTAATAAATGTATCAGGTTGGCTGAAAAGCTCATTCCAGATTTTTCCTGTGCATGCTCAGTTGCTCAGTTGTGTCTGACTCTTTGTGACCAACCCCATGGACTGTAGCTGACCAGGATCCTCTGTTCATGGAATTTTCTAGGCAAGAACACTGAATGGGTTGTCATTTCCTACTCCGGGAGATCTTCTTGACTCAGGAATCAAACCTGTGTCTCTTGAGTCTCCTGTGTTGG